CACTTATTTTATTAAATTCTTAAAACTTTCCAGGTTGCCTCTGAGCGCCAGCTTGCATTTTGGTCCAGAACAACCAATTATGGATGTAAGAACGTCTCCCTAAAAGACTGTCCTTAATGACATACCACCCTGATCTGTATCTGTTGGGTCAACATGTTAGTAATTCTTAATATAGAGTCCAAATATGTATGAGATGGAGGTAACGGTACATTTCTAATAATGAAAAGCTGGTGCTGCTTTGTGTCTGTACTGCCAATGTGTTGCCTAGTAGAGCAGTGCAGTATGAAATAATAATGAGTTTTGGTGTAAAACTGAGTGGAGAAAGAAAATAGACCTGAATTATGCATCAAGCATGTTTTGATTTGAAGCTTGCAGCTTTAGGGTTGTTATTCTACTGGAGGGTGAACTTTCACCCCAATCTCAGGTTTTCAGGCGCCTCTATCAGGTTTGTCACTAGGATTGTTCAGTATTTAGCTCCAATAGTCTCCACGTTAATTCCAACCAGCTTTTCTTTCTCTCTAGAAGAAAATAATCCCAACAGCATGATGCTGCCTCCACCATGTTTCCCTGCAGGGGGTGATGTGTTGCTTTAGCATCCAAAATATAACGCACTATTCATGTTGGTCTAAGCATTTCCCTTTTTTTTCTCCTTTCCAAACAAGGAGACCGTCCTCTGCTCTCCACTTGGCTTCGCTATTTTGGGACTTTCTTTCAACAACAATCTTTTTCTTGCTGCTCTTTCATAAAATGATTTGATGGAGTGTACAAGATGCCCTGTCAACAGACTCTTATTCCTGACATGTGGATGTCTGTAGCTCCTCCGACTGTAAAAGGGATCAAGAAATAAGTAAAAATTTCTTAAAACAATTGTATTTATCCTTAATTTAAGTAGGTAAATAGGATTATTGTAAGAGTGTTTTTTTTACTCTTGAAATAAGATAATTAGATAATATGCACCTGAAATAAGACAATGCAGTTGTTTTTCTTGTTTTAAATCTAAATTGTGTTGATCTATTGGTGAAGTGTCTCACTTCCCTCCTCAATAAAAAAAAGCACTTATCTAAGAAGAAAATGACCTATTTAGATTAGATAGAATTTTTTGCTGTATGGGTAGCGTCTCTAGTATTTTTGTGGACTTCCATGTTCCATTTGTGTCATATACTCATGTTCCTCACTATATGTTCCTAGTCACCATGACGTTGTAATCTTCTTTTAAAAAAATTGTATGTCTTTAGACTGCATCCAAAATAAGATTAAATAAAAATGATGATGATTGTAGAGAAAAGCATAACATAATTGTTTTTGGAAGACAAAAGATACAAATATAATCAGTTCATTTAAAAGTTTAGTTAAACCAAGAAAGGCTCTAATTTGAGTTCTAGACATAGAGCTTCTGGTCATGCCATTATAGAACCACCTCATTTGACTTCCTCAATATAATATATTTTTCTTTCCAAGCACTTTTCCCAATGAACTCCTTTCTGATGATTTCCTTCCCTCTCTCTTGCACCCCCTCTTTCATCCAGGAAAGCTGTAAAATCTGAAGGGCTGGCTGTTTTCACTCAAGAGTGGATTGCTCTGCTATGAATCTATAATGTAATCCTGCAACATGAAGAGTCACACATCATTCAAATGCTACAGTACATTACAATTTCCACCCTTAAGATATGATGGAAAGTTCCTGAATGGGAATCTAAGAGCTGTATGAGGTAGAGAAAAAAAAAAAGCAAGAAACAGGATGCGCATGTGTGTGTGTGTGGATGTGTGTGTGACTGCTTGCAGTTCTCGAATGTTTACATATTTTTGGGGGTTTTTGCTTACAAAAGTGTTTATAGATTTGCAATTGTGCACCGGCATCTGCGCATATTTCACCATCTCTGTGTTTAAGCATTTGTATTTAAGTAAGCATGTTTTTAATATGTGTGCCTTTGATGGGTTTAGTGCATATGTGAGTGTGGTTTTATGTGTATTTGGAGTGTATGTGTGTGCATGTGTATTTGTAGAGTTTTATAGAGAGGAACTGTGTGGGGGAGGAGAATGTGGAAGTGAATTATGCCTTTTTTTTCAGAGGGGAGGGGTGCATATATGTATGTGTGTATGCGTGGGGGGGATGGGTGACTGTATGCTCACTAAGTATGTGTTGGCTAGTTGGTAGTGTGTATGTATATATATACAGTATGTGTGTGTCTGAGTTTGCTATAAAGCAGTAAATGCAGTTTATGACACCAAGCTGGGAGGTTTTAAACCTTTCAGTGGGTTTCATTTATTTTTATGCATCTCATTGAAATGCTTAAGAACAAAACCATTTGTTTTGTCCATACATATATATATATATAGAGAGAGATATATGTATATATTTGCATATGTGGCCACATGCAGTATCGTAAAGTGTGTAATTATCTGCTGGTATGCAGAGACTCTATGTGTTTGAACTAAGATGTTTTCTGTTATTTCTTGTGCATTCATGACCATCTGTCTTATTTCACTGTACAGTCTGTGCATACATGCACGTGGGTAGATAGCAGAGAGTGTCTTTGTTTTTATGCATTCTTAAACATATATTCTATATTTACAGATGAAGCATCTAAATATCTCCCAGCCAAAACAAAACAGATAAACTGTCTATGTGAGTAAAATTCAATAATCGGTCAGTCGGTAGTAAGTCTTATTGAAATGTTTACTGATTGTAATACATTGAAATTAGTTGGAAAATATTACATCTCATAAATCTTCCACAACTTTAAATATGAATATTAATAGAATGAAAGCATTCAGGATAAGAATAAGAATAGTTACCTGCACCATTTGCTATAAACTTTTATTGAGCTTTTAGCCTTCTTCCCAAAATGAATGACTGTAACTGGTTTAAGTTTTAACATATAGAAATGAATTGATTCTGATATAGCTATAGCTCTAAGGTTGTGACTGCTGTTTAAATTGTTCCCTATTTTCCTGGGAACATTCATTTCTGTGGGATCTTATTATTATGTTTGGGTTTTAGAGGAAAGATCACAAGCAACGTGGTTTCTCTAAGAAACCACAATAGACGAGTGTCTAAACTACAGGTTACAGTAGATGGTGGGATTTTTGCAGATCACACCTCCTACTTACAGCTTTCAAATGCTAGATAATGAGAGCTATTGAGAGACTTTCTAAAACCAGCATCCAGATGTTCATCCACATTATGACATGTTAGAAGGTAATGGAAACGTCAGTCGCTTTTTATTCTCTGTTTAAATGCGACCTACAAATGTAGTCTCTGATATGGAAAGTCAGTTTAACATATCTTACATGATGTGCAGTAAGAGCTGCAGCTAGTAGGCTATTGTCGATAATGTCTGACAATTGAATTCATTGCATCATGGAACATTTTAAAGGATTATCTTTGCATTTTATTTGTATACAGATGTTGGACTTTCTGAATTCCAACTTTTAAAATCAGTTGAAAATGCTTACGCTAGTCTTACACTGGTTTATTTGGTGGCCACTATCTCCTCATCCAATTTACATGCTTTATTGGATGAGGGTTTATGGGCTGCAGTAATGAAAAAAATATTTGCTTCTCTTGCAGCTTTTATATCTTTATTTTCAAATACATTGCTGCAAAATTATCAGCTCTTAGTCTAATTTTCCATCTTATTCACCCTACCATGCAGTTATTGCAATTTACCACGGTAAATAACTCTATTCCATTTGAGCCATGACAACTGCAAACCACAACACTACCCCCAAATGAGAGTCATCTGACTGCTGAAAGAGTTTATGTTGTCATTATTATAATTTTTATTATGCACACATCCATTTGACATACCTGGTTATCCTTGAAGGCTTGCTAGCTTACCTCAAGCAACCATTGGATGAGAGGTGTATTACACCCTGGAATGGCTGCTAGTCTAATGGTCATGTACACACACACACACAGCAAATTACAACTTTAGAGAGGAAGCCAAAGTACCCAAATAAAACTCTGTCATGCAAACTCCATCCATCCATCCATCCATCCATCCATCCATCCATCCATCCATCCATCCATCCATCCATCCATCCATCCATCCATCCA